TCACAGAACTGTTCCAGCGAAAAACTTCTGATATTTTAGACAGTAACAGGGCAATGATACTGTTTGTCATACAAGTACTAGCACCAGATGAGGAACTGAGAAACTGCAATGATCCTTGGTGTACATTACCTGTGTCAACAACTTTACTTCCCATGTACTTCATGTACAGATCTACATGTAGTTTGTGGCCCTAAATAAGGACAAGAGTACTTCTCATATGACAATAATACAAATAAAGTGCAAGAATCCAGAAAAATATTATCAAGTTTTTATTATCATACATTAATATTAACAAATCGTGTTAAATTGAACTTTTATGTACAGAGAAACACATATTTATGCTTTGGTTGACAGCAAAACTTTATACAGTTGTCAGACATGCAGCGAATAGTATGCTTTTGTAATACATTGTATATGCAGTTCCAGTGGCTTTACTTTCTGAGAAAAAAATTCTGGCTCTGCACCTGAAAAAAACAAAAAAACATTTAGTCAAAAGTAAGCAAAGGTTGTAGCATATGTGCTCCCATTAGCTGTTAAATTTAATTAAAAAAGATATTTGTGTACTGTCTTTTCAGTACGAAAACATATTACTTAATATATTTATACCAGCCAGAAAGAAATTGCATTAGGAATAAACATGGACAACAATTGATGCATGTCTAGCAATATACTGTTTGAAAGGCTGCAAGATGTAATGAAATAGCAAACTAATCACTACTCGAGTCGGACTGGCTGGAAAACTGCACAATACATACAAAAATGTATGCAAATGATATATGAGCAGCTCCACCAAATTTAAAAATATTCTTTCCATAGTTATGACTCTAATGTGAGTGTGATTTTCCACTCCTTAGCAATACTAGTTTGTGTATTGTATTGTATTGTACTGTACTGTACTGTATCATACAAGTTTATTGTGATTCTAAATGTGTTTGTAATATTATTTAGCTTTATTTAGCATTCTGTTTAGTTGGTTAACTTTACTGCATCTTAATGTAGTTTATTTTATTTTTATACGACCATAGAACAACTCACTGTAGTTTGTTTTAATGTTGAATAAATATTATAATATTATTATTATTATTGAAATCAGTCACTGCAAACCTCTTAAATCACGAGGTAAACTTTCAATTTACACAATACATAATCAGTTCCTACAACAATAATAATCAAAGAAAGCTTAGAAAGAACTCCCGTGTGCTGAGAGTATTGAAGACACATTAAAAATTAATTCAAAATTACTTGTACATGAGATATTGATAGAAAAGCTGAAAACTAATTATGTACATCAGGTAACTAATATGAACAGAACAGAACAAAAAAATTATGAATTATTATGCTAATTAGAGAATTAATATGAACAAATTTTAACCCAAAATTAATCAGGCCTGTCTATTGTCCTAGAGCATTTATGTACCAAATTTTATTCAAATGTGATGATCAGTAATTGAGATATCAGTGTTAATTAATTATGTTAATTAGGAGATTAATAAGCATAAATATTTACCAAAAACTAATTGGGTTTCTGCATAGTTCTCTTTAAAAGTTTCATTAAAATCCAATTTGTGGTTCTTTATATATCAGTGGAACATTATGCAAATTAGGTAATTAATATCCAATTAAAACTAATTAGGTCTCTGCATAATCCTAGAAGATCTATGTAGCAAGTCTCATTGA